GGACCTGGACGAGCGCGAGTCGTTCTGCGCCAGCGAGTTCGGTGAGCGGGTCCCGCTGCTCCTCCCGGGCCCGGGGCGTGAGAGAGCACCGCCGTGTAATGCTTTTCTCCCAACTCTCTTTGGAAAGCAGCAGTGAATGGAATCGTGCATGACGTGGACGTGCTCGGCACAGGGATCCGGCTGGTGACGCTGCTGGTGGACCGGGACGGGCTGTACAAGATGAACCGCCTGTACATCACTCCGGACGGGTTTTTCTTCCGAGTCCACCTGTTAGCCCTAGACTCCTCCAGTTGCAATAAGCCATGCCCAGAGTTTAAACTTGGTATTGAAATTGACCTACATGACCGCTCCATATATGTACTTTATACCGCCATTTGTCACTAGGATGTCACTAGGTCGGTCACCCCAAGACCTTTTGTGGGGCGGTATTGAAATATGAATAGGATTTAGACGACAGGTCTTATTTGGGCCACACTGTGATTTAAGCACTATCAGCACTTTCCTCCACCCCCACCCCCCCAAAGGTGAGAGCAGCACGGATTGGCACAAAGCAGGTCCTCAAATACATGTTAACAAATGGAGTGAATGAGGACACGTGGACACGTGCCAGAGGGATGAATAAGGGGCTCTGTACAGAAGTGAGCTTAGAAAGGTTTTTACTGGGGGGGCGGGGAGGGTGGGGAATACATCCTCCCCTGTCTCTCTAGAGATGTGCTCTGGAAAACCCTCCTGATACATTGTGACTAGGCTCTCTGTTCTGTTATGTTGGCTATTTACAGGTTATTTGGTTATTTTATACTTTTCACTTTTTGGTGCCTGATCTGTATGGCGATCCGAACCCTTGACCTTGGTGTTATAACATCGCTCTCTAACCCACTGAGCTAACCAGCCAGCCCATTAGGTTATCTTCTAAAAGTCACTAGACTGTTTGCACCTGTTGCCTGTGGGTTAAATGCTGGCCGCCAACATGTGCAGCAACAGATTCAAGCTTAGGCATTTCTTAAAGGGCTCACGTGTTCTTATTCATTGTTTAATGACATTTAAAATACGCTATTAACTTATATTTTGGTTATTTTGTTCAGGCAGCAGGTATATTGTGATGGGCCACATCTACCATAAGAGACGGCAGCTCCCCACAGCTCTGCTCCAGTTCCTGAGAGGGCGCCTCCGCCCAGGAGATGGACTGCTTAGGAGCAGCAGCAGCTACGTGAGAAGGTTTAACCGAAAGAGGGATGGGCAAGTTCAAGGTGCAATTCACACCCAATGCATTTGAAACACACCATCCTGGCATTTCTGGATTACAAGAGTCTTGAATTCAGCGACAAGACATAAAACGTCTATCTTCATGTACTGGGGTCTTCCTTTTCAATACCGAAAGAGGGATGGGCAAGTTCAAGGTGCAATTCACACCCAATGCATTTGAAACACACCATCCTGGCATTTCTGGATTACAAGAGACTTGAATTCAGCGACAAGACATAAAACGTCTATCTTCATGTACTGGGGTCTTCCTTTTCAATAGGGCCCACCACAACTTTATGAATGACTTGCATTGTTCCATCTCTAACCTTGAAGTTGTCACTTTCTTATTTACAAAATTCTTCTGAAATGGTATGCTCCCGAGCTCAGCAGCAAAATTATTCAGTGATAATGCCAGACAGGAATTCACACAGCTTAGATAATTGACCTGTCCAGTTAACAGATCACTGCTTCATGTTACATTTTTAAATTATTTTAATACATTTTTCAGTAGAAATAGTTCACAAACATTTATTGAATTTAAATATACAACCTTGAATACTTTATATCATGTATCAAACCAAATTTTATACTCAAACCATCATATTTTAAATTCTGTACATAACAGTAAGCACATTAGCCAAGACATTTATGTATGAAATGTCCTTTAAATCAGAGCCCAGGACAAGTATTAAAATTTTACATTTAGAGAATACTAAAGCAAACTATTATTCAAAACAAGTGTTTCTGATGTACCAAAATGTAAGATATAGTTTATTTTCATGCTTCCCTGCTCCTAATAACTTATGTTTTCTGAACTGGCAGCTATACTAATACTAATGCTAAACGTATTCTGGGTGTATCTGATGTCATTTTTCTGTTAAGACCAAGTATCACGTTTGTGTTTGTAAAGCAGTAAATCTTGCCTTGAAATCAGATCTTGGATGCACCTGGTTTTTTAACCTCACTGAGCCCAAAGGTTTGAGAAAAAGTGCCAGTCACAAAAAAGCTGAATTTTTAGATGTCAAAAGGCTAAGTGGTGATCTTGGGTGACACGGTGGGGAATATTACAGAATGGCCAAGTGGACGTATTGTTGGTTGGAGGGTCAGATGTTAAAGCATAAAAAGAAAAGTTATAAATAGCTCTGATTTAAAAAAGAGAAAATCACTTCTACATAAACCTGAGGGCTAAGATTAGGGTTTGATTTATATTAATTTGATAATACTGTTTCTGAGAAATTTTGGAGACACATAAAAAGTTCCAGAGCCATGTGATGTGATACTGGGAGGTTACGTAGTTAATTATACCTGGCAAACACATGTGGGCTGGTATTTTAGAAACTGCCTGGGTAAAAGTTAAGGTCATCATTCAAGACCAGGTTTGCAAGGAAAGACTAGTGAGGCTTAAATGAAATAGAACAGCAGTGGACATGGGAGTGAGCACAGGAAGCAGTAAAGAACAGACTCTAATTCCAGGGTAGGAAAAAAAGGTTAAAAAGAATCACTGTTTCAATATTCAGTCAGTACTTGGGTAAAATCTTCAATTTTCTGGAAAATTTTAATGAGCAAATTCATTGTAGTATCTAATCCTTTTGTCTTATTTTTTTTTTTCTTAGCACATGGGTTTGTGCTCTAAAGGCCCCCTTGTGCCTGTGTGCACACGTAATAGTCCCTCATCAATAAAATACTCAGTTGTCTTCAAGAGGAGTAATTCAATAGCATCCCTCCTTCAAATTAAGCTGGTACTTTAGAATTCGAGGGGAAAAAAAGCACTTGTTTTTCTTTTGGTAGGGAAAGGTCTATAAAACAAACACTTTTTTTTTTGGTATTAGCTTTTTAATACTGCCTTTTGAAGGTATCATTTGGCACTATTTATTTATAGTTCTTTCGAAATCATTTTTAGGGTTAACCAAGCATACATATGCAAACACTTAAAAACTGACCTGCTGCCTACAGTGCGTCACCTCCATTTCAGGATATATCTGAGCAAGCAACAAATAAAGCAGGGCTTTATCATTTTAAAAAATATAGCTTATTTTCTTAGTTGAATTTGCTCCAAATTGAGTCAGTAGTGGTGTGATCTCCTGACAGATGGCTTTTCGGTGTCTCATTCTAAGTATCTAGAAGTATCTCAGAATATTTCAAATTATTCAAAATAGTTTGCACCTGGCTCTGTCCCACCCACCCAAGCAAGTACTGTACTGATAAGCCATTACTTTGCCAAGAGATACCACCATTCTCATTTTAAGGACGAAGAAATCTAAGACTCCTGGTAATAGCCTGAGTCATGAAAAGAATAAATGCTGTAATAACCATGTAGCTCTGTCAAACTCATTCTGTACTGTGCAGTGATTTAACAGGCCACCAGGTAGGCTCCTTAATATCAAAAACACACAAAGAAGCTTGGAGTTTGCCTAATAAAAATGAACAGAAATAGCGAAAGAACTTTTATTTGCAGATTCTAGGAAGGTAGATTACAAACAATGGCACATCTCAGTGTCTCTAAATAACACTCTAGGGCATGTGAAATATAAAAAGGTAATTGTTTTACTTTAGAAAACATCTCTGAAAATTCACAATTTTTTTAAAACCTACTTCAAGATATTAACTAAAATACAACTCCTGTAGAATTCGGATAGGAGAAAAAAGCCTTACCAATATTATGAAAATACTTTTTGTGATATGGTTTCAAGGATTGTGAACTTGGCAGACCTTTGATAACGAGCACTGAAAATCCTTTTAACCAAAGAAATCCACTGATGCAAATGAAGCACATTTACAGGCCCAAAGACTGGGGTAGAGACATCCTGACAGTATCAGAAATGGATATTATACGACTTGGATTACTGAAAACAAAATAGCTATAATATGTCTATCTTACTAAATAGCAGGAGCTTGTCAAAGAATACTCCTAGAAAAGCAGCTTTTGACCCTCATGTTTTATAAGAATGTTTCTCAAAAATTATTTTTGAAAGACTAAAGCTCTGATAAAACTATAAAATGTCTTTATGTATTTATATGGTGATATAAATCGCAAATGTTTTTCTACCATTAAATACACATTTAAAATTAACATCTTCCTGGTCCCAGGATTTCTACAAAATTTACCTTTTTTGAACAATTTGGCAATGCCAACAGCTACAGAAAATATATCAACCAACCACCCATTGTTTCGTTAGAAACTGCACCAAATCCAATGTCAAAAACATTACTTTATTTTTCTAGGATGAAATGTCCTGTTACGTACAAAAGAATTGCTGTTTAGAATTTGCCACAATTTGTTAAAAACATAGCAATCTATTGCCTACAGGTAGGAAAGTTCTTGCCGCAACAAATTTTAAATGATTAAGCCCATATATATATATATATATATATATATATATATATATATATATATACACACACATATATATATATATATATATATATATATGTGTGTGTGTGTGTATATATATATATATGTGTGTATATATATATATATGAATAAATAGTACAGAAATACTGTGACATGATGAGATGCAGAATAATTTTGTAATTCATTAAAATGGAGAATTCTTGCATCAGCACAGTGCATACAATATGTAACATTTTTAAAAAGTAAAAGGACAAAATAACCTATATTTAACTACTTCCACCTTAATATTTTAAGCAAAAACATTGTTTCCATGTCTTCATATTGAGCAATTAGCCTCTTTAGTTTGTAAGCATAGGTTTAAGTGACAACTTATGTACAAAAAGGAATGGGCTTCATTAGACAAAACTAACCCAGAATAACTTGTACAACCTGAGCCTGTAATAAGAAAGAACTGGGAACAGTAGCAATGTCTTTCTTTTAGGAAACTAAGGTCTGGGAAAGATTTTGCATAGCAGGGCAACATCAAATAGAAGGAAACTGTTAAAAAAAACAATTAGGTAAATTCCAGAACTTGGTAGGACAAAGCTAATGTGAATTAGTGCAAAATCTAGTAAAATTTTTGCAAAGCTGCATAATCCAACTATGGCAGATTTTATAGAAGCTATTATTACAGTGCAGTGATACAATGTGTAAGGTTAGAACACTAAAAGGGAAAACATGCAAAATACACTGTCCTCTGTTGTTTCCATTTTTTTCCATTTTCTTCCTACTGCTACACTACTCTGCCTTATGTGGAAAAAACAAACACATACCCAACCAACAAACAAAAAATACAAAGAGAATGAGGTCATCTAAAAAATGCCCTTCATAAAATGTTAGTAGCTGTCTGTGATTGGTATCATGGAACGCACAGATGCAGGCGACATGTATTTTGTCACATTTACCTTTCTCATGAGTATGATCACAACTGATGCAACAGGATCAGCACCCCTGAAGTTCTCTCTGGCGTGACAACAATGGACTGGGAGTTATGAAATGAAGGGCCACTACTGTCCTGGAGAAACCCAGGCACGAGCAGGTTATTCTGCCTTTGCAGCCCTCCCTCCCCCCACAAAGGCTTACAGATAATCATTAGCGCACATTCAAAGACACCTCCTTCTGTGGGAGAAAAATTATCTCCATTTATTTTGTTTCATATACATCCATAGTTGAATTTTAATACAAAAAGAAAAAATTAGAATCTGACAAATGTTTACAAACAAGATACCTTCAAATAGATTTTACTCATTTTAGCCTGGTGCAGAGTAAATGACAAATTGTACTGTAATAGTCAAGGCAACAGAGTCTGTAGTCCAGGACCACGTAGCCCAACCTTTATGCAAGCTTAATTTTCATCTACCATGAACAATAAACTCATTGTTGATTCCCACTTTTGTGTGTGTGTGTGTGTGTGTATGTGTGTGTGCACGTGTGTACATAGCAGCTCCTTTCATAGAAAGAAAAGACATCTAGAGGTTGTCTTGTATTTTTACCTACAGAAATCATGATAAGATACAGGATGGATTACATGTAACCGGGGCTGGATTTTATAAGAAAAAATAATTAGCTGACAAATGAGGGCAGCAATAAAAAAGCGTCTTTTTTGCAACAATAAATAAATACAGTCAAAAGTTTTCTGTGAGACTCTAAACCAGCTTCTTCACTGAAGAGCAGACGTGGCATTTCCATGGAGTTATGCTTGACCCCATAGTATCTTTTTTTTTTCTTGCTTTCTTTTTCTTTTTTTTTTTTTCAATAAACAAAGTTTTCCCGCTTCTGCCACAATAGTAAAACCATTTGATCTTGACAAGATAATGGTGTCGTTGACTTTGCTTTTCTCTTGTCCGTTGGACAAAATTGGCCAAGAATATAATTGGACTGTTATGACCAATAAAAACGAAGTTTAGGTCAAGTCTTGTCAGGACAGCCTGACTAAAAACATCTGGCTCCTTAATTTAAAATAGTTCAGACAACCAGATTCTTGCTGTGTTTTATGTTAGGTTAACACGCTGAGCTTTAAGAAGCTGTAGACTGCAGTTTGTTGTTATGAGACCTACAGAATACAGAAAAAAGGGAACAATTAAGCACCCTTCATTTTTGAAAACAATGATGCTTTATGTGGATGCCAAGGGCAGTCAGTCTGGGGGAAGCAGCCATGTTCTTTCATTCACCCTTGGCAAGCAAATACAAGAGAACAATTAAGAAATTTTTAACCTATAACATTAAAACTTTTCACTGTACATTAAACATGATAGCTCACTGGAAAAAGCTAATATTTTAAAAAAATATATATTTGTCTAATAAAGATTATATTTTTAGCCAACAGGACAAACATTTACAGAAGCATTATCACTGTGGTAAAAAAAGTGTGTGTGTGTGTGTGTGTGTGTGTGTATTTATTTACATTGATTTGGGGAATATAAAGAGGAAAAATTGTGTTAAAAGAAAAAAAATAGCAATATTAAAATCACATTTTTTTCTATTAAAGTCCAGAAAGTCTCCCTTCTAGTTTCACAGTTTTATTCATAACTTTCTTCAGTAA